TTATTGCGATTTCCTTATATAAGACCTTACAAAACGTCGGCTTTTTTTTTGGGGGGGGTTCGGCAAGGGCCTAAGGCATTAAAGCCTTGCGGATCCAGGTTTAGAGATGAGGTGGCCCTAGTCTACACAAAGCTTCATGGATTTCAACAAGCACCAGCGTACCTGGTGCGACCCGTGGAAGACACATGACTTACAAACCCTAAACCCTAAACCGTTGCAGCAGTCCTCCCATGGCAGAGCCGGCTTGCTCGCCAAAGCCGGCGCTTGGGGTTCGGGGTTGGATGGTTCGAAACTGGGGCTCTGCTCCTTCGCCCTGCTCTAAACGGCGTCTTACCCCGAACTCCTCTAGCCGGTGTAATTATGCATCAGCACATGTCTGAGTCCACACCTGATGCATTTTGTCATGTTGAGGTCATAAGTACTTACATTGGTGCCCGTCTGCTTCAAACACCTTGGCCTGACAAATATGCACTGTTCACCAATTGTTTATGTATGATAGTGTTTTGTGCTGCATTAAGATTTTCATGTGTATGTTTACTTGCATTTATATCCATTTCTCTGTTCGTATTATAGTATCGCTGTACTTCATTGACTTGCATGTGGAAACCTGTCTGCGGTTGTGAACGTATGTCATGTGTGCATGCATGCACGTTTACTGACCAATTTGCGAGATGGTCTTTTCATGCCTACGGGCCTACATCCCGTCCCTTCTTCACTTCGCCCCCATCGCTGCCACAACACCAACAGTAACCGGAGCTGAAACCATGATAGCAATACTACAGTACTTAATGGAAGCCCTTCAGCCCTACCCAGCCCCTACCCCCTTGTGCAGCGAAGGCTCTTGTCTGTACGTCCGAATGACTTCCAGTCTGAAAGCATCAGGGATCGCTTCGTTGAAGGATTCCGTGCAGGGTTTAGGGTTTAGGGTTTCAAGCATGACTCATGTGCGCAGAAACAACAAACTCCAGAAGCGGCGAATGCCCAAAGTTTGAGCTGAGTGGTTCTGAAACAACCGGTCAACCGGTCACAGATATCCGAATAGGAATACAAGACTTACCAACAACCAACACTACCACAACCACTGCTGTGCATGCTATGCTGCTCACTGGTAATGTCACGAAACGCACACTGGGACCCGTGATCAGTACATCACTCGTAGTAATAGTCACGCTGAAGGGTTTCAAAAGTAGCAATCCGAGTAAGAGCTGTGCTTCTGCTCTATCTTCTTCGTAAGTACAAGTATGACTCATCGATGGATGTGGTAGCCAAGATGCACACAAATCTGCCAACAAGAGCACCGCCACACGGCGAAACAGTCCCTGACCTCTACATCCAACGGGTTGATTCCGGCTCTGGGGCTTCGGGGTGTCAATTTCGCGGGCGGAATTATCGGATTTCAAACCCTAAGCCCTGAGGCATAAGCTCCTACACCTTACAACCCCTATGGCCACAAAAGAGATGAGAGCTACAGGCCCCCCCCAAGATCCTTTCTCATGCAAAATCCAAATGTGAGGCGCTCAGGACCTAAACCCATTGAGCCTCAAGCCAAAAGCAACAACTGAGAGACTGTGACCACACCCTTCAACTCGAAACAGATTGCCACGAAGCCCTCAACCTTAGCCCTCAGGCAATCCTAACTCTTTGAACCAGGAACTTTCGTACTCATAATCCTATTGCACCCTAAACGCCAAACATTAGGACCGCCCTGCAATCCCCTCTGCAACCGACGTAGACCTGAACAAGCCACAGCTTCCCATGCTAAGATGCCGGCATGATCCTCCGACAAACCTGACAACACGGCCACAGGTAGAGGGTTTCTCGTGCCCGGGTTTTAGGGCTTAAGCGGACAGGACGTGACAGACTGAGCTTGGAATAGCGCCTGAAAACCCTCTACGGCTTGGAAAACCCGGACTTCGACACACTTCAGCTAAGTTTAGGGCTAAGGGCTTATGGGGCTTACGATCAGGGCTTAGAGTTCAGGGGTTGGTGTATAGAGTTTAGGTTTTGTGGGAGAAACACTCAAATCAAAACATGTCCAACACCCCACGGCGTCACGGCCATCAACCCACAACTAGGATACCCAGTAACCTAAGAATAAAAAGGCCTCTCTTTTTGGTATTGGGTAACTTTATAAGGAACCTAGGACTACAGAAAGGGAATAACGGTACTACTGGGCATCCTAGACAATGCAACCCTAAGCCTGACAGCCAACACCGTGGAACCGAGTCTTTAAAGTCACACTTTCACGAATCCGGAATGGGACGAGCTTACAAATCAGTCACTAGGAGAATGGATTGAAAGACAATGCCCGGAGCCTGAGGACAACCCGTGAAGCGCTTTGAAGTGACCTCAACAAACCTGAAACCCTGAATCTTTACACCCGAAACCAGGAGAAACCCCTGAACCACAAATCCAAACATCGTAAAACACTAAACAGATGAGCCCTAAACACTTAACCGCGAATCCTACAGCCTACACCTCAAAGCCGAAACCGCTGACCCGAGAACAACGCTGGCATTGAAACCCTAAACCGTGCCCAAATCCTAAACCCGAGGGCCCTGAACCCTACTTGGAGGGTCGGGGGACTTAGTAACTGGTTATTTGAAGGACTTATAAGTACCATAACCCCAATTAGGGTCCCTTTTGGGGTACTTATAAGTCTACTTACTACCTACTTACTAAGTCCCCCGACCCTCCAAGTAAGGCAACCCATAAGGGAACAGTATACTAACCTTATAGCATCCCTTCACAGGAGCCCTAGACGGAACAGGCAGAAAAACCCAAAACCCTAAACCCTATAAGCAGCTGCAGCTCAAAAAGGACCTAAACCCTATAGGGAAGCAGCCTCCACACTTGGCAACCTCCGATTCTGGAGCTCACACCTCCCAGGCTCTTCATAAATTTCTCCTGACCCTGAGGGGTTCAAGGGGTCCTGTAAAGGTTCAAAACGGGATCCTTCAAGAGATCTATTGGGGGTCCTTTAAAAAATCTATAAGGGTCCTGACGGGGTCCTACAAGGGTCCTTGGGGTAAGGTTTTAGGTACCTGCTTGCTCGGATATGTATCTCGAAGGGTTTCGCAGGTTTCAACGGTTCGGAGTTTTTGTTTTTTTGTTGGTTCTGAATCCTCCTCGAATAGGGTCGGTAGGGATGTAGGAATTCCATGCTGGCAGACCCAAGGTTTAGAGGTTTTGGGCTTGGGGTTTAAGGATTTCGGTTTCCAGGGTCTAGAGGTCTCGGGCTTTGGGGTTGAAGGACTTCGGGTTTTGGGGGTTTGGGAATTGAGGTGAGAGTTTCCGAAAAGAGGGGACCCTAATGTAGTACCCCAAATAGTAGGATCCCTATTATAAGGATCCCACAGGGTACCCCCAATTTTCGGAAACTCCCAGGTTTACAAAGGGGGGGGGGCAGAGAGGTTGTTCGAGGCACTGTGCCTCGGCTAAGGCCGTTTTTTTTTGGGCCCCTTGTGACAAGGCGCCAAGTACTTAGACATAGGGTTTAGGGTTTAGGGTTTAGGGTTTAGGGTTTAGGTAGGGTTGCCAGTTAATTAAGATTCAGGTCCCCCAGTTGCTGAAACTCACAGAATGTGAAGTAAAGTGGCGACCGAGTTACAGCCGCCAGCAGCATATCTGTTGCGGTGCAATGTATTTGCATTGTGCCCTCGAACATCTAACTATACTACATTTAAGTCCAAGTATGTAGCTAGCTTGGCATAGTCCGGGCCAAAATACAGCGTGCGAAAAATGCTGAGGCAATAACTACCTCACCCGAACTCCCACTCCCCTGAAGCTGGGTTCTTGTTAAATTACGGGATTCAATTTAAGTTACCATATTAAAAAATTCAAGTCATTTGCTACAGATCCTGTTCTGGTAACTTAGGCCTAAACCCTTAACCCGAAACGCGCACCCCTAAGCCCTAAACCCTCAACCCTGAAACTCCAAACTGAGTCCCGCACCATGCTGCCTCGAGCTCCCAATCTGCCAATAAGGGCCTCTTCAGTTTTCAAGGCCGTGGACTTCGCAAGGTTTAGGGTTTAGGGGTTTAGGGTTTAGGGGTTTGGGTTTAGGGTTTAGGCGGTTTAGGGTTTGCGGTTTAGGGTTCGGGTGTAGGGTTCGGGTTTAGGAAGCTGATGCGCAACCCCGTGTTTGATGAAGACTGGAGGAACCTTAACTTAAGAGTAGGATGTGCGCTGTAAGGACCACTGAACAAGTAACCGGATCCTGCACAAAAACCGCAGACGGGACATTCTAGGGTGCCAGACTTTTCTGAAACTCTCTGAAGCCTATGTAACCCGAAAGTAACTGGCGCAGGAGCAACTCCTTTTCCGCCCACAGGCAGCTTGCGACTGGCGCTGGAGCGGCGTAGCGCAGCAACTGGACACAGGGTTTGGCGTTTGGATTTGTAGAGTTTAGGGCTTCGGGTTTAACGAGGTTTACTGTGGGGTATCTCAGGCTTCTTTGAGGTTAAGGCCTATGGCCACCGCCTCTTGTCCCGGGCAGTAAGCACTCGGCCAGAAGATCCAATCTTCAAGTAAATGTAAACCGATGAGCTCACCCCACCCGGCACCTACGTCCTGAACGATTGAACCATACATCATCCCGAACCACAGCTTACAGTCCTGCATCCTGAAGCGCAAACTCCACATCCCCGACGCAAAATCCAACTCCTTAGCCCCAACAGCCCTGAACTTACACCCCAAACACAAGTTTCCCAAACCCCAAGCTCATCCTTATCATCCCTAGCACTCTATGTTTCTCAAACCGTACAGCTCAAGCCCCAAACTAAACCCAACCCAAAACTTTAGATCCCTTGTCTGTGCCCCTTTCGAGCCCTGGGAAACCAATTAAGGAACCCTTAAAGCAACCCTAGCAGAACCCTTGTAGAAGCCCTTGAACCCTAAACCCTAAACCACACTAAACCCCAAACCCCTAAACCCTAAACCCCGAAAGCCTCAACCCTGAAACTCATCGAAAGCCCAAGCAGAGCCCCTGAGTCAGGGCCTCACTTCCCTAGGCTGAGGAGGTCCGCCAGAGTCGGGGCCGAAGGTCCCTTTGCCTGGGTTTAGAAGATCAGGGTTCAGGATTCAAGGGTTTAGGGTTTAGGGTTTAGGGCTTCGGGTTTAGGGTTTAGGGGTTTAGGGTTTAGGGTTTAGGGCTTCGGGTTTAGGGTTTAGGGCTTCGGGGTTTAGGGGTTTAGGGGTTTAGGGGTTTAGGGTTTAGTGGTTTAGGACAGCGGCCTGCATCGTTGGGAAATTGTTGGGGGTTAAGGTAAAGTAGGAACCCGATTCAGAAACCCTGGGCCTATAACCCCAAAATCGTAGGATTCAGATTAGGGGTTGAAGGGGTTTCGCGGTTTAGGGTTTAGGGGTTTAGGGTTTAGAGTTTAAGGGTTGGGGATGTATAGGCTTAAACAATTTAGGTTTAGGCCTTAAGGGGCCCATGGTTTAAGAGGTTTGGGGGGGTCGACGGCTTATAAGGCTTAAGAGATTTCGGCTTCGAGGCTTAGGGAGTTTGGGTGTAGGGTTCACGGTGTAGGTAGAGCTTAAGCAGATCTTTTGCAGCGTTGGTAGTTTTTAAAGCACGGTTCTACAAGGGTTCCTGCTAGTGTCCTGATAGGGTTTCTGCAAGTGTCAACATGTCCTTGCTAACCCTACCAATCGCTGAAACCCCAAACCCTGACTTGCAAAACCTACACAATCTTCATGGCCTCTCTCTCTCTCTCTCTCTCTCTCTCTTCTCGCTTGCTTGCAGTCGTTCCGATTTTGCCCAACCATCTCCGCTTGCCGATTCTGCACTTGCTTTGGGGGATGAACGCTCATCAGCATCAATAACGCTACTCGGTTTTAGGACTTTGCGCTGTGGCGGCTGGGCTCGGGTCGTATCCGTTCTGCTTCATCAACATGCGGTCTGGGGTGATGTGGGTAGACTGGAGATAGAATGCACAAGGCCCAGTAGCTTCAGCGTGCCTGAACGGGGATGATGGCCTAAATTTGGGGGTCTAAGCGTTTCCGGGCAAAATATCCTTGTATGTACATATTACATATTTAAACACATATTACAGGATACATAAACCCGTCTAAATATACATATATATATATATATACGTACATGAATATATATATATATATGTGAAGTTTCATGTATAATATGTAATGTATAACATCTAGTCCTTCTCCCATCATAAATAGTATCGGTAAGGAGTAGAGGCGCACCTTCGGTGGAGGGACCTCCTCCTTCACGGCCTCTTTCGGGGCCTGCAGACTGACGACTCAAGGAGGTATGCTTGAGGCTAGGGCCCGTGGACTTGACATCCACATATAAATACACATACACCTACACATATATCTATATATATATGTACACATGCAGATACATAGGTATATACGTTTATGTGTATACATATATGTATATACGTTTATATATATATATATATATATATATATATACACACACATTATGTATGAGGTGTGCATGATATAGGAACCTACGTAAAATCCACAGAGACGTAGCAAAATGCAAACGTGGAAAAAGACTTGGCGCTGCCCACATTGCTCCAGAACTCCACTGAAAAAGGCCCTTGCTAGCCTGCACAAACTCCAAGCCGAGAGGGTTTTGGGTGAGAGCCTCAACTGCTGCAATGATCGGAATCGGATTCCGTGGGGGCCAATAAGCTCCAAGTCCAAAAGGACTGGCAAGGAACACTTACGAGCTATGACAACTCTCCTCACCGAATTCCCAGCCTTCAGAACTTTGGAGCTCAGGTCCTTTGAAGACTCAGATACAGCACGGTTTGGAGTTCACGAAGCCCCAATGCCCAACATCTCCAACAGGCTCTAGCCGCGAACCTACGAGCCCTGAACATCCCCCAAGGTGCACAAAGACCAACACCCGGCAGCCTCCTACGACCCACACGCACAATAGATTCCAAGGGTACCCTTACTAAGGACCCCAAGCTATATACCCTTAATATAGCTTTTACATACCCATTATAGAGCCCATTATAGGGTAGGGGTCCCCATTAAGGGTCCCTCCTTTTCCCCTTAGACAGATATCTTGAAAGCGAAGCACTGATGTATGACTCTACAAGACCGGCAGCACCTAAACTCTGAACCCTAAATTCTGCAAACTTCCCGAAGCTCAATGACCAACTTCGCCTTCGATAATATAGGGGTCTCAATAATTAGACCAGGGTCATGGGCTCTAGTGTAATCATGGATATAATTGCTGAGGAACCCACAGGAATCTTCGTCGTTCTTAAAGCTTCTATATCTAGGATGCCCAGTAAGCAGGAATAAAAAGGGCTCCCTTTTTGGTATTGGTCAACTTAATAAGGAACCTAGGACTACAAAAAGGGACTAAGTGTACTACTGGGCATCCTAGATATTCGAGCTTCGAGCCCCAAACCGCTCGAATGAAAATCCCCACAGCCCCAAGCCTACTACGGGGGCCTTAATGATTAGAATAGGGTCTTGGGGTACATTATACTATAAATATAATAAGGAACCCCACAATAGTATTGGTAATTATTTAGGCCCCTATATCCCTTACTATGAACCCTAACCCTAATCCCTACTAAACCCCCATAGGCTAACACCCCTTTCGGCCTCCTATGATACTATCTTGGGAACTCGCCCGCCTCGGGGGGCGCAGCACGCTTCCTGCCAGGAAGATTCCGGGCTCGGCGGCTTAGGGTTTAGGGGTTTAGGGGTTTAGGGGTTTAGGGGTTTGGGGGTTTGGGGGTTTAGGGGTTTGTGGCATGGACCTTTAGGGTCTATTTGGCAATCCTGCTGGGCTTTGTATTTAAACTGCAACAACACCACGGCGACAAGGACGACGACGACTCGGTTTAGCACGACGACGACTGGGTTCAACACGGCGACGACAAGGTCTGGCACGACGGTTGCATCGGGAGGCCGAAGCGTGTACAGTGCAAAGGTCTCGACAGGAGTTTATAAGGGTCTAGGGTCTTAGCTCCTAACTATGGTTTACCGGGGTCAGTATACTATGGAAGATCTAAGGTTTGGAGTTTATGAGGATTTAGATGGTTTTACGCTCTCACAAGTTCTCCGTGCTGGTTTTAGGGTCTATCACAGTCTATCACAATGTCCTCCCGTCCCTCTCGCGCCGGGAACCATCAAGAATCTGTCTTGTGTATTTCTCGTCCTGTGTCTTTCTCTCATTCCCGTTCCTCTTCCTGCCTATCCACTCTGCCGTTTGTCAAGAAGACACAGAAATTGAAGTCATGACAAAGGAATCGGCATGAAGATGGACGAAGTGAACTCTTCATTCTCTCGTCTCTCCCTTCTCTCCTTCCTTTGATTGATCCTTTTTCTGTTTCTTTTCTTGTCGCCTTCTGCTGTCAATGACAGGGGTAACACGAGGGAGGGGCAAAGGGACGACGTCAGTTCCTCTCGACGTGGTTCGTTTTTTCATTTCCTCTCGCGTTGTCTCTCTTCCGCCTCTCTCTCTCTCTCTCTCTCTCTTTTTCTCGCTCTGTCTTCCTCTCTGCCGTGTCTCGCTCTCTCATCTCTTCTGTCCCCTCTTTCCTTGCTCCCTTGCTGGAAGGAATAGAAAACAGAAGCGAAGACATAAGATGGAGGAAGATGGTTGGGAGAAGGAAGGTGGATTCCTCCCTCACTCGGCTCTTTGACTTTCTTTGCCCTTGCCTTCTTTTCTCTGCTCCTATCCTTCTTCACAATTAGAAGGAGAAGCGACAAGAACGGAGAGCTCAGGGAGAGCAAGTGACACTGTTCCTCATAATCTCCTCCTTCATCGTGTTCATTGCGTTGTCCATCTCCCTCTCTCTCTCTCTCTCTCTCGCTCTCTCTCTCTCCCTCCATCCTTTCCTCTCTACTTCTGCACATTTACTTTTCTCTCCCCTACTACATTATGCTTGATTTGATACTTATCTTCAACTTTCTCTCACTCTCTTTGTCCCATCGCTTGCCCTGTTCCTTCTCCTCCTCCCTTCCCTGCCTCCCGTCCTTCTCCCCTTATCGCTCAGAAGGAAGAAGGAAGACTCACAAGGAGAAAGACAAGGGAGTAAGAAAACAGACAAAAGAAACGGAGAGAGAGCCATAAGGAACGAAATACAGAAACAAAGAGAGAAAATAAGGGGAACGATAATCAAAAAGAGAGACAGAAAGAGGAGGCGATGCATAAAGCAGCCGACAGTGCCTTGACCTCCACGTCTATTCATTCTTTGCTCTTGTCCTATCACACTGTCTCATTGGTGATACACCAGGAAGA